ACACCACCGCCTCTGCTTTTCCCAGTAAGATCCTGTGACCTGTCCGCGCGATGCGCGGAGAACCCCGGTAGTTGTATTGTACCTTGTCCAATAGCCAGGTTTCTGTGAGGCAGATCACGCAGCAGTCCCGCATCTCTCCCTGGAATGAGATCCGTGCCCGAAGCTCGCACAGCTTGTTCTCCAGAGACTGCACATTAGCCAGTAATAAACTAGATAACGGTGGTCTGTTAGTGCGCCGTCTCAGTCGAACCAGAACGTCAGATCTTCTCCCTCTGCGTCGGCGTTTGCGGCCTCCAGGGCCAGAGAACAAAAGCGTCTCAGGTGAGATGAATGAGGGTCTGCAAACGGAGCGTCCGTGTTGCAAAACTTGAACTCCGGAAAGTTATAAGAAAGACCGTCTTTTATGTCCAGTAAGGTTTGTCGGTCGTACACAAGGAGACATGTGCTACTCGCGAAAAAATAAAGGAAAAGTAAAATTAAACACAGAAAAACAGCTGTTGCTTGGGGGAGCTCGCGGCGAGGCTGTCATACTCGGCACCATCTTGTTTATGAACCTCTGATCTAAACAAATTTAACACATCATATTATAATAATTATTTTCTTGTACTCACACTACCTGTGGTTAGGGATGGGTATCGTTTAGGTTTTATCCGATACTGGTGCCAAACTGGTACTTTTTAAATGGTGCTGGTGCTTAAACGGTGCTCGAACCGGAGCTTAGAGAAATGCGAACACAAACTTTGTCCAAAAACCTCTTATGTTTTTATTTTTAGCAGTCTCTTTTTTGATGATAACCAAGTTAGCCTTTTCTGTTGATACAACATACCTCCTTTGGTTGGAACCGGTGGCTAGGGCTAGGACTCTCCTATTTGGGTTCTTGGGGGATGTTGCTAACTCCAGGTCCGATAACAGGCACCACTCCCGCAATATATGTGCTTGGTGTGAGGTCTTGCAGCAAGCTATCAAATATGGTGCTCTTCATCAGATTCGAGGTGTTACCTCCTTTGCACAGTATCACCTTAGGCTGCTGAGTTTGCATCTTTTGCTGTGAAGTACAGCCAGACTTTTGACCACTTTGCCTTGGGCATTTTTAATCTGTAGCTCTGCTCTAAAAGAACGCACATACCTGGGCCTGCCTACTATCCCTGGAAAGGTAAAATGATTGGCTAGAATTGAAAATGTATGACATCTCAGGAAAAAAAAGCACCGAAATAAAGCACCAAAATGCACTGGGTGCCATAATGGCACCAGATATCGGTACCCATCCCTACCTGTGGTACTATGTGACTGTGTGCGTGGGTTGTGTAAAATGTAATTATTGACAAGAGTCAACAAGCACTGATAGTGTAATCTACAGCTGTGGCCAAATGTTTAGAGAATGAGAAGTCTTGGGGGTTTTTTTTGTTTGTTAAAGTTTCTTTTTACAAACTTTGCTGTTTCAATAATAGTTGTATACCATATTATATCACTTCAAAAAGAGGTGATCCAGTAATGCTACACTAATGAATTAAACTATTCACTTTAGCTAACGTTATGTTGTGCAAGACATTAATAAACCTAAAATACAATGTTTTGGACATTCATTTGTATATTTCCCTACTGTAGGGGGCTCTGAGAGGGTACAATATGACAAGTGTGGAATTCTATAAGAAACAGTCAATCATATTTGTTTGTCAAAGCTGAACCAAGGGCAAACTACGCCAAATTATAAGCATAAAAGTTACTGTACAACTATCATTTTTTAACATGACGCTTGTTCTTATACATGTGATACATTTATTACCAACCAGAGAGTTTATCTGCTGACTTTTGAAGTCTTAATCCAGCTCCAGCTCAAGATAATGTAGATTCCCATCAGTAACACTTTCGTTCCGCTGATAAAATGTAGTTCTATTAATCTGCGCTCAATTACCCTGGAAGCGGAACTGGATGCAAGTAACAAAAAAAAAGAATTTTGGAACTGAAATTCCAACTGAAACTGAATGGTGATAAATTAAACTGAAATTATTCAAGAGCTACATTTTTAAAGGACAAAATACAGTTTCAAAGCAAATGAATTAACTTCAAATTCAGTTTCTGATGGCACAAAGGTCTGCCCATAGTACTGGCCATGTTCCTGGCACTTCGGCACTTCCTGTCTCGATTGCGTGGTTGTCTAGACAGACAGCACAGTTGCCGCAGCCTATATCAACCAGCAGGAGGAGCTGGGCTCTCCTCCCCTCTGCAAACTGGCCGCCCAGCTGTGGCAGTGGGCTCACTGCCAATTCCTCTCCCTCTGGGCAGTTCATGTGCCAAGTTCCCTGAACATGGCAGCAGACATTATGTCCAGGGGCAGTCCATGCCCAGGGGAGTAAAGGGCAGAGGTTGACTTCTTTGCCTCCAGGAAATTGACACACTTGCCCTCTGTACTTCTCCCTGAAGTCCGACGACACCCCTCTAGGGTGAGGTGCCCTTGTGCATCCCTGGCCCCAGGCACTCCTTTACACCTTCCCCCCTTTCTCCCTCCTCCACTCGGTCCTCCGCCCTGGTTTTAAGTAATCCCACCCCTCCTGGATGGCATGCCCTGGGACCTCCTGCCCCAGGCCGGAGGGTCGCTCTTCCATCCTTTCCCCGCAAGGCTGCGGCTGATGGCCTGGCCCCTGAGGAGGAGAGGCTGCGCTCCATACGACTTCCTGCCCCTGTTGTGAACACCATGCAGGAAACTTGTGCACCATCCACGAGGGCTTCCTACTGCTATCACTGGGGAGTGTTTGCTTCCTGGTGCGTGGTCCACAGGCTGGACCCCATGGTGTAACAGTTGATGCCATGGTGGTCCATGGACTGGACACCCAAGGTGCCACAGTCAATACCATCCTGCAGTCCCAGCTAGAGGCAGGCAGAGCTGCTGTTATCCTTCATGGGTTAGTGGCTGTGATTAAGGCTGTTCACCTTGGTCGCTCAGCGCTCAGTTGCTGAGCACTGAGCGACCAAGGTGAACAGCCAACTGCAAAATCAAAGCAGCGTTAGCGTTGCGCTAATGCTGCTTTGATTTCGCGTTTGCTAGGGGTGTCCAGGACCTAACAGCTCGGTTTCCCCTTGGGACCTGGAACTGGTCCTTAGTGCCCTCCAGTGCCCTCCATTTGAGCCCCTGGAAGATGCTAAGTTGAAGTGGCTATCGCTTAAGACCGCCTTCTGGCCATAACTTCCACCAGAAGAATAAGTGAGCTCCATGCACTGTCGGCCACAGTGACTGCTTGATGGGAAGGGGGTGGTCCTCGGACCCAACCCTGCATTCTTGCCTTCTTGCCACAAGTCCTCTCGGACTTTTACTTTTCTCAGACGGTTGAGCAGCACTCAGCTCCCACTGAAGGGTTGGAATGAGAGGCAGCTCTGCGTCTGCAGGCTCTGTGACCTATCCGAGCTCTGGTTCTGTATGTTGCACGTACCCCGTCACTTTGGACAATGGACTAGTGGTCTAAGTCCCAGTTAATCCTGCAGGCTTACGCTTCAGTAGGAGCTCCTCTTCCCTCAGGTGTTCAGGCCCACTTGACCTGCAGGGTGGACTTCTTGGGCCATATGGAGGGGCGCTGCCCTCTTGGCCATTTGTACATTGATGACTTTGTCCTCGGCCACCACCTTTACGCAAATTTTCCGCTTGAACGTGGCAGCCTGCTCATCTCTTGAGAGCAGATGCTGGGTGCCCATTGGTGGTAGCCATCGTTCCCCGGTCAGCCTAGCATCTTGTGGGCTGACCTAGAGTGGCCGCTCAGTTGCAGTCCTTACGTCTTTTGGGACCAGTTCAGGCCAGTCTTGCGTCTGGCGAAGCCCTGACCGGGGTGGCATATGTATATGTACATTTGTAAATAGTTTGTAAATACATTCTGGGATTTGGTTGCACTGTCTTCTCGTGGGGTGTCTTACAGAATTACCCCGTACATATGGAATATATAGCAAACTGGAGAGTCTTGATATGATAGAGAATGTAAGGTTACATTGTAACCTTTGTTCTCTGGGTCATACCCCATACATATGGAATATGTAATGGAGTGGAGAGATATTATCTCACTCAGAGAACCAAGGTTACAATGTAACCATATGTTAAGTGGCCTTCTGAACACCGATTCATAATCTGGAAATTAAAGAAATAATTTTTTAAAATATTCTGTATGTATTTCTTTTGGACATGCAGGCATTGGAGCTATGACATGGTGTCCACTGGCTTGTGGGATCATCTCAGGGAAATATAACAATGGAATCCCTCCTTATTCACGTGCTTCACTTAAGGTAATATCCCAATATTTAATATCCATCTGGTATTAAACAAAGGAACTGTAATGGTCCTGTGTTGTTTGACCCAGTTTTTTGTGTTTCATTGTATTTTGATATTCATTGTTTATGTTTTGGCTCATTGAGTCTTTTTTGAGTCTGTGTTCCGTCATGCTACCTGTTCCAAGGTTGCCTAGTTTCAGCTCTTTATTCATTTAGACTCCTTATGTCATCTTCCCTTGTGTTGAAGTTCCCCTTGTTGTTGTGTGTGTCTTACCTCTTATGTTATGCCTGCGTGGTTTATGTTGTCAAGTTCGGGTCACGTCTGTGTTCCGTCATGCTACCTGTTTTATGTTGAAAGTTGTTGGGTCTGTGTTTCCACAAGCCCCGCTAATTCTAGAGACTTATTCATCATGAAGAAAACAAGACAGTCGATCGATTATTTGCGCAAGGGAGGCCTCGTCTGTGTCCACCACGAAAATGACCC